GTCGATCATTCGTGAAGGTCGATCAACCGTTAGACTACCATAATCATAACTGTCGCCACACATTACCTTGACTTCACGTGTGGATAGCTATAGTCGCCCACGTGTGACGAAAAGTAACTACCAAAGGCTGCTACATTTAATGCGCCATAACCGCATAGAAATTACACATATGCCCTTCATTTCAAATTCCAAGTTTGTCAAGAATATCATAGTAGAAGAAACGCCAATTGTACAGTATGTCGACCGGAGATGAGTCCGACTTAGGAAGCCCAATCAAATCTGCATTCAGCGCACAACCGACGAAGTCTAGGCTTGAAATCAAATCGAGCAATAGTCTTTGAAGCTCGAAATAAGCACCGAACAGTAGGGGGCAGATGTTATGTGTAATTATTCCATCAAGCTTGGAGAAGTCAAAGGTCAACAAGGCTATAGTCCGATTCAGAATCAGTTCGACTCAATCGATTGTTTGACCCAGCATAAGCTCATTGAGGTATAGCTCGACCCCAGCATAAGTTAGACGTGACCAATCTCGACAATTGTTCAACTAGCTCACAGATAAATTTAGATCCCGGATATCTTGGAAGGGATCATATCAACAACAATCTTGGTGCAATCTCAGCGCTCAATAACAAGAATATCGAAGTCGCATTTCAATCTTAATTGTAATTCTTTGATTTTCGCTCTTTCCTTTGTGCAAAATTTGTATATAAACCCCCTCCAACGATGAGAAAAGGGTTAGCAAATTGCTCTAGAATCATTATTGTAAGCTCTCACAACAAATACAAAGACAGTGGACGTAAACTCAAGAGTGTAACTCGCCGAACCACTTTAAAAACTCTTTTTGTCATCTACTTTACTATTCTTAATTCATTACATTGCTGATTATCCGTAATCACGCACACATCCATTATGATTCCGTCAAGGTCAATCGGATCGCTCTAATTGGTGCAAAATCTTGTATCAACATAAGGTTTATAAGTCTCATATTTAGATTGAAATTAAAATAGTTAAAAAAAAAAAAAAAAAAGAACAAATCCAAACCCCATCAAATGAGGTGGATAAGACAATTTGTGATGATCCAAAACCCATTAAAAAGAGATGAATAAGAAATATTTGTTTCGATGATCAGAGTGTCCGGACCAGCTTGCGCATACCTCAACTAATCTCAGAGGATCTATTGTGGGGGCCTATCGAACACTCTACCAGTCTAATGTTTCAGAATAAGCCACAAATGTAATAAATAACCCCAATATGGTTCGAACCCAAGAAGTCAATAAAGGGAGTAAACCTTCTTGATTATCAGGCCAACCCTTTGGGGTTATGAATAAGAAATATTACTTTACACACCAGTAGAGACATGATTCAAATACGATCAAAAGATGAGCATGTCCATAAGCTAAACATCCTGTTATTACACTAATTTCTTTGTTGCAACTACCGAGTTGAATTATTGAACACTGCTGGAATCAGCATGAATAGGAAAGCACTACAATGTTTGTGGAGGAGGTGCACGTGAATTAAATGCCGATCGTCTGCCTATAGCAGGAGGAGGTGGAGACTGTCGGATGATGGCTCTCAATTCCCGAAAGCCCACTTTCTTTGTCCACAGAAATCCCACATTTTCACTTCCTAAGCTACCTTCTTTTCCTGGAAATGTCTTCCTTGAGATGATTCCATGACAGGACAAGCTCTTCTCACAACCTTTCGGGCATAGCAAGAGAGAAATCAATGGTAGATTAGACTTTAAAAGACCACATAACATGCAATTATATAATTGCAAAAATAATATATAGTAAAACAACATGAACACCATAACATCAGATTATCAAAGTCTGTGGAGCAAATGGATTTTCAGAATAAGAATTAGAAGAATACCATTTAGCAGTAATGCACTAGTATTCACCACCAGAAATACCACCAGGATTGCTGCTGCCAACTTAGCCTGAAAACCACTCATCATGGGAGGGAAGGAGATACGTAGCAGTAGCAGACCGTCAGTTAACCTTTATTATGAACACAAAACACTTCAAAGAAGCAGGAAACTGCAGGATTTAAAGATTTTACTCTAATGTTAAGCCAACTTGTCTTAATCTATTTGTTTTGTAGATAAACAATTTTAGTTAGGTTTGGATAGACTATTAATAAAACCATTATAACATGTGCTTAGGTACAAATTTTCAACAGTTTACCTGGATTTTGAGGTTTCAACTCCTAGTTTTATAATCAAATATATGTACAGATCTCTCGAAGACTTACAAAAGTCAGAAAGAGGGCGCCCTCTTTAGCTCATTGGTTTGTGAACGACTCAGACGAGGGCTAGTGACTCATGGACTACAGAAAGATTAGGTTGCAAATGAAGGACAAAAGAGAACCAAACTAAAAATAGGAGTCACCGTCAGTAAATTCCACAGTTTAATACTCAAGCTTATGAAATTCTTAGCTACGCAATCAACATCCAATATGCCATTTGAATATTAATTTGTACAGCTGGAACTATAAGTGATGAAGATGACTATTCTAAGAAGCTACCAAAAGGCAACTTGACGAATTTGTTTAGCTTATGATAACGAGTTTACTACTACCAATAAACCAGCTTACCAACTCAAATCCTCTTGAGCACGAAGCGGGATGACGCAGCCAGCAGTTCTTCCTTAAATTGAGGGTCACTGTTTAACACATCCGTCCAAAATGCATTTAAAGAAGTCCAAGGATAGAACGTTAACACCTAGATAACGTGGTACTTCTTTCTCGCAAGTACACACATGTGGCATTTACACGAGCTTCACATTACAAAATGGATAACTAGAATCGCTGAGATTTCTCATCAGCAAGGAACAGTTTTGATAACCGGCATAAGAGCAAAATCATAAACAGAATCCATCTTTAAATTCAACCTGTTAAATACTAATTTGGACCACCCAGAACTAAGTTACCAGATTTCCCACGTGTGTTTGTGGTGCTTCTAATGGTTCAACTTCACACAAATGAGCTAAAAGTGGGTCGCTTGTCTGAGTTGAAGTTTCATCTTTTAGAAAATGGCTAAGAAAACGGCATTCACAGGATTCATCAGTTACAAAGTGCACTCAATGGACTATGGATAGATATCAGTTGACAAAAAGGAAGTTATAAAGAATCATGGAAGGCATAGTTATCAGTTGAGGTGGAGGATTATATGGCTACATCAACTTAAGTTGTACCCATGTAGCCACAATGGACAAGCAAGCTAAAACACCGTTCTAATGAATCTAATATATTATGTTCCCACAGAAATATGTGAAGGATAAAACATTATAAGGTATCATATGTCAGGTATATAATAGAGAAGAGATGAACAATCAAATATCAAATGTGGATTCATATAGACATAAACACGAATAGAAGATGCGCAATAATATATCACCAACTTCCACCATTTCATTTAGACATACAAACACCAATGAACCCATAAAAAAACCCGAACATACCATACTATTCGCTAAATGGGATCCACATATCAACATAGTACTTCAAAGAGTGCGGTAGTGCCTTTTTCCATGCAACAAGATCAGGCAATTCACCGGTAAGCGCAATTGAGCTATCATCCTTCCTATTTCCAAGATGCAGAACAAAAAGATTTTCACCAAAAACTCTTTGCATTGCCTTCAAAGTATCCTCCATAACAACCTTCCCATCTCTTCTTGAATCCTCTGCCTCCACACAACTACCTCCAACATTAACCATAACCCTCCCACCTTTTCTCAAACATTTCCTCAGCTTCTCCCACGTGTTGGGATCCTCGAGTTCCGGTAACAAACTACCTTTACTAAACAAATCAACTAAAATCCCAGAAAACCCTTCTCGAATACTAGCATTCAACGCATTGCCTACATAAATGAAAAGTCTACCTGGGTATTTTTTTTCCAGTTTTACAAGTCCAAAGAACTCTTTTGCTACTTTTATCACAGATGGGTCAAGCTCCCACCCATGAATAACAACTTCTGGATACAATTCTAATATCAAACGGGCCGCGGAGCCCGCCCCGAAACCCAAAATACCTATTGGTCCAGGTGGGAGGATGGGAGGTAAAGTGGCAAAAACATCAAAGTACGTGTTGGTGAGTGACTTGAAGAGAAAGGAAACGCTCTGGATGTTCCCAGGGCCGTCAAGAAGGAGAAGTCTAGAGCCTGCAAAAGGGTGGTCGGTTTTTCTGGAAACTTCTAGAACACGGATATAATTGTGTCTTGACCTGAATTTGGCTATTATTTTGACGTCATCGGCGGGAACGCCATCGTCTTGAGTCTTGGTCTGGTGAGAGGGTTGGGATTTGAGTGGCGATGGGCGGAGGCGGAGTTGTTTCGGTGGGGTGTGGTGGAGAGAATGGCGGGAGATTTTAAGTGGATTAGAAATAAATGGTCTAATTTGGTGAGTTGAAAGCCCTATTGACATTATGTTTCACTTTGTTTCTCTTCAATCAGGGTAGTTTGGTGAAGGACATGTAAATTTATACGGTGGCGGGTGGGGAACTAACGCTAACTTCGGCGCACGGGATTAGAACATTTGGCGGCCCATAATATCCAGTGACGGCAGTCGAGAATAATTTTTACGTTCAAATGTTCTTAATGGGAATTATTCGACTCTTAAAATTGGAGGCATTTGCAAATGATGAAATTGTGTTACGATAAATAGATACAAGGATAAATTAAGATAAGTTCAAACAACGAAGCTGATAAAGATACAGGTATCATGAAGAGTGATGTATTGTTGTAGAAAGAGCCATTAACAAAATAGATATAAAACAAAATTCAATTCCAGATCATAACATCACCATGTATGTTTTCCTGCACAGTGTATGTATCATACATTGATACTATGTTTGAATACTGAATGTAAGATTAATTTTAACACATCTTAAATTCAAAACAGACGGGCAACAAATGCCTTAATCTTGTCTGTATTTCCTACTCTAATGCCTCCATCAAAAGAATCTAACAATATGCCTCCTTGAAAAATCTACTGTAAATAGCTCTGAGATGATGATAGATCTCATGTCTACATGATACAGAAATACTGGAGATTAGATGCCACATTGTTACACCGATGTCAACATGATGGATGATGTCCCGATTTATCTTCTTCCATGTCATCCGGACCATCCCTGTCAAAAGAAAAAACAAAGAACTTATTTTATTATGCTAATGAGCATAACTTAAGAGTTTTGTCTATACAATTCTCAAATAATCAAATTATTAGAATAAAGGGAGATAAAATTTTAATGAGTGCAGACTCAAATCAAAATTAACAAATTTATTAGCAAGACTATTTCCCAATCCATTAATTTCTCCGTATCTTACCCTCAGCACACAGGTCCCAAGAAATCATTAGACCATAACTAAACTGTCATCCCCTTCAAAAATGGTGATAAATTTTAAGAGAGAAGACAGACCATTTTGTGTATATACCGTTAAGAAATCTTCTGACTTACCTCATCTCAACTTTTACCATTTTGTGTGGAGGCTTCTCATCCTCCTCGTGATCCGACGCATAATCCTCACCACTCCAAATGCGAGGTTTTGGTCTTTGCTCCATGTCCTCTTCGGGCTGAGATCAAAAAACATAAATCTCATTCTGTCAAAATTAAAGTAGATATGGCCAAGAGACAATGTCTAAGGGAAGTATATGAATAAATTAGACACTGGCAATCAACCTCTTCTGGAACTTCTGTAATGGGTGGTGTTGTCTGAAAAGGTACACTGGGAGCATGAGATAACCTAGAAAGTTGCTCAAGTAGTGTGGCCCTGGAAGAAAATGTCATTGTCAGAAACTTTTAAACAAAAATGAGCCATGAAAGTGAGCATATGATTGGGGCAGACTGAGCAACCAATGCACATGATTAAATTGCATGTTGCACAGAGGCGAAAGAAATAAAGAGCATTTGAAGCCAAAAGCAAATACAGTAGAACCTCTTTATAGTCATAATGTTAGGACCAACTAAATTTATTACTATGAGCAGTTTATAATTTAATAGAGGTTTAGCTACAAAAATTATTGTTTTCATTAAAAAATTATTATTTTGATTTATTATTTTATACTTCATGTTTAAGTAGTATTAGGATTTTAATTCATTGTTTTAGTAACATAAAATAGTAAGAAAATGGATATCAAAGAGTCATTGTAAAATTGTATGATCAGATTCGACAACTTCACTACACTAATCAAATGAATATTAATGTTTTCCTCAATTATCCAAATGAGCAACAAGTTGTGTATGTTTTAATTACTGAAGAAAAAATCATTACTGGAATTAGACAAAAGAGAAAGGAGATAATCCTGAGGATAATAATACGGAAATATCAAAAATTTTGTGCCAAGAAGCTCTAAACATGCTTGAGATCTAGAAATATTTTGGCTTCAATAAGAAAGTGTCCATGCTGGTGACTTATTACGTATCCGTACGATAAAAGATCTGGTAACAACTCTAAAGCATAAATCATTGTCCCAAACAACTTTAGATAAATAATTTATTTCATCTTAAACCTTTAATATAACATAGCATATATTTTTTACAATATACATATAATTATTGCTATGTAGAGGCAAATTCCTTAAGACGGGATCTAGAAAAATTATAACTTATTACAATGTGAAATTTATTCTTATTTATAACTGGCTCAAATTGGGACCAAATTTTTTTATGACTACGTAGAGATTATTCCTATATAGAGTATTATTATAGAGAGGTTCTACTGTAACTATAAACTACAACTGTCAAGGTAAATGCATAAAACCAAGGACATAAGATAACAAAAGGGAGGCTCCTTGGTTCCATTTTCCAATACAATGCATTTAGTACACTGATTTGAAGAAATAGAAGATGGGTTAGCCTAGTTCCACCGGGACTTGAGAACCACAAATAACAAAATCCCTCCATGGAGTTGAAAAACCGACAGTAGAGTGCTTGAACGATAGCCCTCAAACAACAAACTAAAACTTTCAGCTAGCTGGCATGGCTGCCGAATTAATATTAGCCAAAAAGACGTACATGCATAATGTATCATACACCCCCACCTTAACACTGACCGAGTAACAGTACCAATAATTCAGTGTACATGACAATAATTAGGAAAGTGCAGTATCAGAGCTAATAGAAAATTTAATATAAAAACTAGAAAGTAATAAAACGCACAAAATCACCTTATTCTCTCCATGTCTTTGGCTGTGTTTAGGTTCTCCATGTTGCACGGTTCAACGTGAAGAGTGTAATCTGGTCCAAAATACTCATAATATTCATTGTAAGGCAATTTATTATCAGGTTCAACACCAACTGCAACTGCTGTCTGCAACAAAGAGACTGAAAAAATTCATAAGGACAACATTCCTTATTTGTCAACATCAATTTTTTTAAGAATCTCTATAAAAAGGTAAAGGGAAGACCTCATAGCACCAACATCGAGCAACATTCCGGATAGTATATCCTCCTCCACCCAAGACCATCAGAGGAACATTGAAGGATCTAAGGAAGTGAAGGCAATCAGCATGGCCTTTTACTGACAAGTTAAAGCAGCCCAACCTATCACCAGACAGTGAATCTGCCCCACACTGAAGAACAACTGCATCAGGTTGATACACTTCCATGACCTTTTGGATGATAGGCCGAAACAGACCACGGAAACTTTCATCATCCAAGCCATCATTCAGTGGGACATTCAGGGCATAATTTTTACCTTGCCCCGCCCCAACATCCTTGATATGCCCAGTCCCAGGAAAGAAATCCCCAAATTTATGGAAAGAAACTGTCATCACTCTGTCAGTGGTGTAAAATGCCTCCTCAACTCCGTCTCCATGGTGAACATCAATATCAACATATAACACACGCTGCCCAATGCCATTGAAACAGAGTCTTCAGAAAAATATACAGTAACTCCATGAAAAACACAGAAAAGGAAAAACAAAGGTTTAATAAACACATTGTAAAATCTTTTCTAATATGTAAGATAAGAATGTTCTGCTGATCCTGTTACAACCCTAATCTAGACCACAAAGGATGGTGGCAAGTTCTAAAAACGAATTTCTACAATAAGATATAAAATAATGCAATCAGTCAACAAGATGTGATGTAATATTAAGTATTCGAATCTACACATAAATCTGAGCAAAAACTAAAGTAAATATCATATTAATCGACAACTGCTATTTCAGCTATCCTCCAGAATTTAATTTTTTTTGATAGAGAGAATTGGAGGCCAGAAAATTCATTGAAAAAGAAAAAAAAAAAATTATGAGCATTTGTAAGCAAAATATCAGCAGCAAACAGTGTCTTTCGTCTCATCAATTCTTTTATGTTGAGTAAAATATTATCAGTAAAAAAACAATTTGTTTTGAATGAAACCCAAACTAACAACAAATCTACCAGTAAATAAGAAAAGGCATCTTTTTGTTAATTTTTTGAGGAAACAAAGCAGCTTCAATCATCTGAACTACAGAATCAAGCAACAATCGTAACAAACATAACACAACAATCAAAGCAGAAATTTCTATCATTCCGGAAGCCTGAAAAAAAAAAAAAAACAAATCATAAGTGGCCTATGATTTTACCAACTCCTCAAGACAAACTAACAAATACAACATTAGATAAAAACTAAACTGACAGCAAACTTAAACAAAACAAAACCCAAAAGAAAGAAAGAAAAACACTACCTTGTGAACCTTAAGCAACTCGAGAATGCCAAGAACAATATCATTAACATAACAAAACCCAGAGGCTTCACTCTTCTTAGCATGATGAAGGCCACCGGCCCAATTCAAAGCAATATCAGCATCACCTCTATTCAACTTGACAGCAGCTCCAATGGAGCCGCCCGAAGAGGCCTGGCAGAACCCAAAAAGGCCATCAAACACGGGACAATCTTCTCCAACATTGAACCGTTTCAAGTGTCTCGAAAACGACGGGTCACCGGAAGATTCGGGTGAGACGGAGGCCAAGAATTCAACATATTCGTCACTGTGGAATCTGCGGATGTCAGAGGGTCCGGCAGGGAAAGGACGGTTGACCTCCATCCGACGGTGGAGAGCGTAATGGACGATGAGATTGTGGGCCATGCGAATTCTGTGTGGCTTCATTGGGTGACCCTGGCCGTAGTAATAGTCGCCGATCGTAGGTTCATAGAAGTAGCTGACACGACGCTTCTTGCCGTCGGGACCTGATGGCAGCGACGCACCCTCCTCCATATCGCCGTGCTTTCACTTACTCAAACTATACTCTTTTATTTTTTGATTTTTAATTTTAAGGGCTTGGGCTATTAAGTTATTATATTTAATATTTATGTGTTCAACGCTTGAACCCGCCTCTCCCTCTAGTTTCAGACTTTCAGTAAAACCAGTGGATGTGTATTTGCACTTGCAAGCCAAATAATAGATGATAATTAATGTCTCAAGTTTATATTTTGACCGGAAATTTACAATCTTATAGACATTATATATAAATTTGAACCATGTAATATTATCCCCATGTCAATACATGACTTAGATAAGAAAAAATTTGAAAATTATCTAATCAAAATTAGGGTGAAATTGATATTTCATAATTGTGCAGTTTCACGCATGGTTGTCAAATCGCGTATCGTATCGTGTATTGAAAACCTAATTTTTTGAATCGTGTATCGCGTATCGTATTGTATTGTATCGTAAAATACGCCTTTTTCAAAAAAATTAATAAAATAATCAAATTTTCTAAAAATTAATATCATCCCCAATATTAATTAAAGAATTTTATAGTATTATTGGCTTTAAATTATGATATTATATAATCAAAATTAATCACAAAATTAAAAATCTATATTATTTTCTCTTAACCATTCATATCATTTCCAAGATCAATGTCAATATCTATATCTCCACTTATATTATTATTATCATGTAAAATGGGCAACACATATTCCTCTTCACATTCTCCATGCAAAATGGGTAAATTTGGATAGGTTTTAGTGAATCGAGTTGGGTGAACCGGTTTCGACCCAAAAAAATTTTTGGGCCTTTGGCCCAAATTAATAAAGTCGTATCGATTTATATCGATATTTTTAAGGATACGAACGGATACGTATCGTATCATATGATACATATCAACGTATCGAAAGGTTTATGATACACTCTCTGATACGTATCGTTGGCGACCTATATCGAATCGTATCGTATGATACGTATCAGGTATTATAGGATACTAACAACCATGGTTTCACTAACGGAATGGGGGCTGCCCTCCCATTTTTCATAGTGGCGAGTGACATCATAAATAGGAGAATTTATGGTGACTTACAAAACAGCCATAGAAACTAATCTCAAAAAATATGAAGAGTAAACAACATGTTCTCACCCAAGCTTTAGTGAAACCGCCGATTGGTACCCCTGGTTTCATAAATTCTAGATTCTCACTCTTAAATAGACATTGTTTCCTTTATTTTAACCGTTAAAAGCTAAAATGGTCTTCTTCTCTCTTCCATTCCCATTTTTTCTTCATCTCTGCCTCCTCCTCCCATCTTCTTCTTTTTCCCTCATCTCAAAACTCTATCTCAAAACGACTATCGTTTCAAGCCCACCCATTTGATTCCAACAACGTCTTGACGCCCCACCACCACCATCTGATCTCCCAACCCCACCCCACCAAAACCCCTCTATCCCCCACCCCGCATATCTTGCAAATCACCCCCTAGTCCTATTCTGAAATCAGTCCAACCGCCAGCCTTTTTGCCACTTTTCTGGCTTTTTTTCACCCAAAACCACCACCACCTACCTCCCTTAACCCCCCATACCAAAACCCTAGCCTTACCTCAACTGAAACTATAGTCGTCCCCACCTAGAAAATGCTGACCACAACTAGGTTTTTCATGCGTCGCGCAATTGTCTCCAATCGAATTCTGGCTGATTCTGGTAGCCTCAACCCCAAACGACACCACTCATGCACTCACAAGCATCTCCCCTTCAAAACTCCCAACCTTCCCGAACATGATTGCTCGCCATTCACCGCCGCCACTCAACTTTGGGTTTTGCAAAATCAGTTGAAATGGGAGTTTGATTGGGTTGTGGAATTGATTTTTGATTTAGTTTTTAGTTTTGTATTTTGTTTGATGTTTGATGTTTTAGTTTGATTGTTGTGTGCTACGGTGATTGTGTTGGGAAAGAAGAAGGGTCGAATGTGGTGGTGATTTGGCCGGCTAGTATTAGGAAAGAAGAAGGGTTGATTGTGGTGGTGGTGGTGGTTTGGTTGGCTGGTGTTGGGAAAGAAGAAGGGCCGATTGTGGTAGTGGTTTGGCCAACTGGTGTTGGGAAAGAAAAAGGGTCAGTTGTGGTGGTGGTTTGGGATGGGGTGGGTTTGGGATGGGGTGGGTTTGGAATGGGCTATGAAGAAGAGAAGGGGAGATGAAGAAGGAGAAGGTCCAAGGGTAATTTGGTAAAAGAACCATCTACCCTTATATCGTCACTAACAATGTCCATTTAAGGGTGGGAATCTGGAATTTATGAAACCAGGGGTACCAACCTGGGATTTCACTAAACCTTGGGTGGGAACATGTCATTTACTCAAATATGAATTATAATAACCCAGGACTAGCCCAAGTCAGCTTAGCTCGAGTCCAGGACTTTCATCTTTAATTAGAATACATAAATTTTATTTCTTTTTTTTTATTTATTTCTATTTCGGCTATGGATCGCAGATCCATAGTTGAAACTGCCAGATCTATGGCACTGCCAACGGACGTCGGCGATGGTGGCTAACTACCGGTAGTGGCTTGGGATGGGTGGGGGTGTTTTTGTTAAGTTTAAAACATTTTTGGTTACTAGGGTGTTTTTGCTAAATCTGAAAAGTAAGAGGTTAAAAGAAATTATTCAAAAATTAACAATAAAAATTACTATTATATTAATATTTAAAAATGAGGGCAATTTAGTAATCTATATAACATACCCACCCATTTATCCTCCCAACCAAATATATTATTCACTTATTTATTCGAACAAACCAAACACATTTTCTAAACATTCCCAGTAATCTTTAAGGTGATATTTCTTCCCGTTAATATAATATTCCTCTATAATAAAATATTATATGATCCAAACACCCCCATAGTTATTATTGTTGGTAATATAAAAGGTAATATGATTATCTCCACTTTCCGTATTTTAAGATTACTTGGTAATCTTATTTTTGTTACAATTTTATACTTTAGGAGCCGTTTAGATCATAAAATATTTTATTATAGGGGGATATTATATTAACGGAATAAAAGATCACTTTGAGGATTACTAGGAATGTTTAGAAAATGTGTTTAGTTGGTTCGAATATATTGGTGAATAATATGTTTGGTTGGAAGGATAAATGGGTGGGTATGTTTTATAGATTACTAAATTGCCCTCCTTTTTAAATATTAATTTAACAGTATTTTTTATTATTATTTTTTGAATAATCCTTTTAACCCCCTACTTTTCAGATTTAGCAAAAACACCCTAGCAATCAAAAACGTTTTAAACTTAACAAAAACACCCATACGCACCCTAAGCCACTGCTGGTAGCCAACCACCACCATTGTCGGCCGCTGGCAATGCCACAAATCTAGTTGTGACTCTAGTAGTGCCACAGATTTGGCCGTGAAATGGCCGGCGTTTCACGGCCAAAAACCTGGCTGTTTCATGGCCAGATCAGTCGCTGTTTCACGGCCATAGATTTAGCTGTGAAGATCCATGGTAAAAAAAAACCTGCATGAGTGATTGGGTGTTTTGTAAATATTAGCAAATATAAGGTTAATTTGGACCAAATACTCAACTGTTTAGGGGCAATATGGGAAAAAAATTGTAATACCAGGGTAAGTTTTAATAACAGCCCCCCTAGGTATTAAGATTATCGGAAATTTACCCCCCAAATGCTACTGTTTGTCATAAAATATTCCGGGAATAATTTTTTACAAACCAACCAAACATCGTCATCTGCTCAATTTAAAAATATTACCCCAGTTATCTAATATTAACCTGATCCAAATGGCTCCATAACCATATAATTCATGCATCATTAATAAATTAAGGGCACATTAGGAACATGGACTACCATTATTCAATATCTAATACCTTTTATGTTGCATTATGTTTACAAAAATGCTTGTTGGATCAATTGATCCAGATAAAATAGGTATATATTTGACTTTTCATAGCGTAATCCATGTATTAAAAGACCTATTTGCCCTTGATAAATTAAGAAGTAAAAAGGTGATTTAATGAATCAAATTTCATTTAATTCTCTCTGTCATCATTAAGTCTGGAAATCAAATTCCAAATGGAGTATTTTCAAAATCTTGGATTTGTTGTAAAATATTGGATTTGTTACCAAGAACAAATCCAATGTTTTAATTTGATTATATGATAAGAGTTATTATACACGTGACTCATGCCAACAATTATAAGTTTAATTATAATCAAGACATTTATGATAAAAATTCAATTTCAAACAAAATCTATATTCCATTATAGGAAAAGCACTTGCTCTTCGGAAATGCATAGTCTGTGGTCTAGGCTTTACTGTAAATTCAAAAGTTAATGTCAATTTAATTATATGATAAGAGATATTATGCACGTGACTCATGCCAACAATTATAAGTTTAATTATAACACCAATAATACTATTTTTCTCAAAATTTTATCCCAAATTTTACTTCCCAAGTGATGTATCATCACATGTGACATTAACATTTCAGTCTATTTTTTTTTTAAACTACCTATAAGTGGTTGAGTGGTTCAATATGGACTCTTGGGTGTATTACTTAAGAGGTCATAAGTTCGAGTCCTTCCTCAATTGCTAATAGGGGTACCAACTGAAGCTCTTATCCGGTCGGTAGTTCCAGTATCCTAAGGATTAGTTGAGGTGCGTGTGAGTTGGCCCAGACACCAACTATCATTAAAAAAAAAAAAAAAAAATTAGTCTTTTATGAAAAATAACAGGAGAAACAATTACATTCTCTTCTTTTTAGTTTTTTTTTTTTTTTTTCAAAATATCATTTTAATACTATAGACATTTGATTAATATAGTTCTTATCTAGTGTGAAAGTTAAAAATTTCAAGGCGTCAATATTTAATAATTTTTTTTTTTTTTTTTGGTAACTGGTAATTTTATAAAGCATAAAGAATAACAACTAAATGGGGGAACCCCTAAACAAATCGACCCTTGAAAAGAACAAGGGGAATTGAAAACAAAAGCAACTAGGATAAACAATCCTTTACAAGAGAACCTATTTCTAGGACAAGGGAACCAGTGAGGTAATCAAGCAAAATCCTTCACACAAGACATCGCA